GCGCGCAGCTCCCAGCCCCTCCAGCCGAGGCCGAGGGGACTGATGGCCGCCGCCGGGCCGAGGCGGACCAGAGCAGGAGCTGCGGGAGCTGCTGCCGCCGCTGCCGCCGCCGCCGCTCTTATTGCCTCGGCCCCGGCCCGCCGCCCCGAACCAAAAGCGCCGCGGCGGGCGGGGGGAGGCGGGGGGAGGCGGAGGCGACGGCGGCGAGGGGGGTGGGAGGAGGAGGAGGAGGAGGGCTGAGGAGCGGCCGCGGCGGCGGCGAGGGCGGGAGCCGGCGGAGGGAGGCGCCCCCGGGCGCCCGGGAAGGGGGGTCCCTCCGCCCGCGCCCAGCCCGGGCCGGGACGGGCCGCGGAGCCGCCCTCCGCCCCCCCTGCCGAGGGTCCCCGCCGGGCCGGGCCGAGGGGGGAGAGGGGGCGTCTCCGCGCCAGTGACGACCCTCGCGCGACGCCAACGCTCCACCCCCCGGGCCGAACGGCCCGCGGCCCCTGAGGCTGCCGCTCCCCCTGCTCCCGCGGGCGCCGCCGAGGGGCCGGGGTGGGCGGAAGGGGAGGGAGCGAGAGCCGGGACTTAGGAAATTCTCGAAAAGAGAGAGAGACAGACAGAACCAGAGAGCAGGGAGTGTGGAAAAAGCGAGGCGAGCACGAACCAAAGAACAGAGCAACCGAAAAGGAAGATGTGTCCACACACATACACATGAACACTAATAAAACTCCACACTACACAGCGACGGTGGCGTCCGGTGGCGGCGGTGGAGGGGCGGGGCGGGGCGGGCGGCCTAGATGAGCCGCTCCTCGCGCCCGCGGCGCCGGCCGCCAGGGGCCGAGCCGAAGGCGCCGCCGGGCCCGGAGCGCGCGCGGCCCCTGCGTTTGGCGCGGCCGCTCAGGTAGGAGAAGAAGGCGCAGCCCAGGAACACGCGGAAGCAGCAGGTCGCCCCGAACACGAAGCCGCAGCCGCGGCCCTGCTCCGTGCGCTTCTGCAGCAGGAAGTTGAGCACCCAGGAGGGGCTGCGCACCGAGAAGACCAGGAAGACCACGAGCGGCAGGTGGGCGCCGAGCGCGCCAGCCTTGGCCGGCCC